AATGCTGAGTTGCATGCGGCGCAGACATCCAAGAATGGAGACAGAGGCTGCCGGCCCTGGGAGTCGTGGGAACATTTCTGATTCTGAATCTCGTCAGATTTGGAGATATTCGTGTGGACTGTGTTGATTAAATAGCCCTAATCTGAAAGTCAAAAATATTCCTCAAGTTCAACCTTTCTGCAAAGATTTTCCAGTGAGTCTTCTCTCCGCCTTTCACTGGTGTGGTTGGCTTTGACGGGATTCTCTTCCTGTTTTCATTCAAGCGAGCAGGGCTGATTAAGAGACCGTCCTTCGCAGGAGTAACCGACCTGAATTGCAATTTGTATAACTGTGTGTTTGCTGTGAAACCGTACCGATGAACCTGTGCTAACGCTGGCTGAGGCAGGCGGTGCGGGCCAGGTGTCTTCACAGCTCAGAGCAGCAGAAAGCTCACTCAGAGGTGCTCCAGCCAGGACTCATTTCCTCCAAATGTGCCACCTGCTGGGAAGATTAATGACAGGTGGCCTTTCGCAGAGTCGCTCAGCCCGGGCCTAATGTGCTGCTTGTTTTTTTTATTATCCCAAACCTCCATAACTAAAGGAGTTTTTCACCGTGCCCTTTGTTCACAATATGGGGCTGTAATTGAGTTCAGATTTCTCACCCAACCTTTCAGCTCTAATTAATATTTTATTATAGCAGATTTTATCACTAACTAGCAGAGCAGCAGAGTGCTGAACTGCGCGCGTGCACACACACACACACACACACACACACACACACACACACACGGCCCTAGTAACTTACGGAAGCCAGGAAAGCGCTTTGTAACGAGTTGTGGCCAGGAGAGCATGCAACGTGCCCGCAGGTGTCCACAGCAGTGTGTAGGGCCAGTCTTGAGACTGCAGCAGGGCAGAGAAGTTACGGCCGTACCGTGCAACATGCCCGCGTCATCCCGCGGGTGTCCACAGCAGTGTGTAGGGCCAACCTTGAGACTGCAGCAAGGCAGAGAAGTTACGGCCGTACCGTGCAACGTGCCCGCGTCGTCCCGCAGGTGTCCACAGCAGTGTGTAGGGCCAGCCTTGAGA